TTTAATGTGAATGGACTGTAGTTGTTGAATGAGAACCTATTGCTTATTCCGCTGCTAGTGGTGTGTGACCCCAGGCACCACGCACTGTTCAAATACTGCTGAAAAGCCAGAACCGTTACAGCCATCCTGTATCCTGGATGTGCCACCACTACTGCCTTGTCCCTTAGGTTTCGATGCTTCACGAGGAAGTGACAACACAACCCTGCACACTTCCATAGCGCCTCCTCCTCTGGCTTCCAGCCAGACTGCTCCCAAAGACCCCACAAGCAACTGTGGAAGGCTGCTCCTCACTCCCTGTCTAGCTCACACATTATTCAATATCTCTTAACCATGGCTGCAGAAGCACAGGACAAAGAACATCTAAGCAAGCAGCAAGCTGGGGAGAAGTGATGCTTCGAGTTATTTCCTTGCAGGGGAATGCCTTATATGAGCACTGGATCCATGATGGATGTCATGTGCCTGAAATGCCATTGCCTTCTGAGCTTGGGTTCCTTGGAAGCACTGCTCAACACCTTGTTCTGCCACAGGTAGCACAGAAACAGTGACACCTAATGTCTCTCTGTTGTTGTCTCCTAAAGGAAAGGCAGTCAAGCTTCTGCCCTGAGGGTTATTGCTGCTGATGGCTTGAAAACACTGCTGTGAGAATCCCACACTGCAACAGCTCACCTTGACCAGAGATAAAACTGTCTGCGGCTGGATTCTGCAGCTGAACCTTCCCTTCAGCAAAGCAGGAAGGAAAACAGGGTAGCAGAAATACTGCACATCTTGCCCACATTCTGTCATCTTAGCAGAGCCTCCCACAGCTTATCCTCAACCTGGAGCGTCACTCACTTTCTGCTGCCCAGAGGGAGGCAGAGGACACTGGAAAGAGCAGGAGGAAACTGCCAGGCTTATGAGTCAAGGAGAAATACTACATATATCTGTAGTATCATGCAATTGGAGACCATCGTAACAAACTAAAATGAGGGTGGTCATGAAGGATGAAAGGGTAACATTATTTCTTGCAGCACCTGAGTTTGAGGTCCGGTTGTCTGAGCTCCTGCTCTCACCTTCCTCACACAGGCTGTTCTCCCTCCTTGATCCAATTGACTGCTCTCATCTCCCCAAACCCTGCTTCTTCCCCTGTACTCTGGAAGAGGTCCCCAACCTTTCCCCCACCACCCCTGTGCTGGGAAGAACGTTACAGAGCACAAGATATCACCCCCAGCTGATCTCTCACTTCATTTCCCTCAAAGACTGAGAAATTGCCCCAAATTTGGGAACAATAACAGCACACTCCGGGCACCACGGCAAGATTCAGACCCCTTTTAGCCAAAACCAGAGAAGGCGGGTACCACTGCATGGCTGCAGGAGTGCTGCTCTGCTTTGTTTCAGGCACAGCAGAACACCCGTCTCCATGTCCCGCTCAGACACGGCTCCACAAGTTTTGCTGCAAATCCCATTTATTTTCGAATCCACCCGGAGGTAAAAAACTCATCAGGGAATGGAAAATTTCAGCTCAAACGAATTTCCAATGCGGCAAAATTACAAGCTAATGGGAACAGGATCTGAACTAGGGGGTGCAGGACAAGCCTAACTGAACCCAGCACCAGCAGCTCCACCTCCAAGGCGTATTTTGACCCGCTATGTAATTAGACACAATTCCAGAAACAGGAATTATATAAACCACTCTGCATATATTAGTTTCAAAAGCCCCAGCTATTCACTGGGTACATCTTTCCGTCCACATGGATCCAATTATGGAATAGGCACCCAAACTCTCTGGGACAAGCAGAAAAGAAAGAAACGGGTGAGCCAAGATGACTGCGAGCGCACTCCGGCATTGCTGCGCTCGGACAAGCATCACAAACCCACCTAATTCTTAACAGATTGCTCCAAATGTCTTCCCTGCAGGCTATTGCCCTAAAATTCCTTTATTCCCTCAGGTCTGCGCCCTTATCCCACCTGTGTTTTTCTATTGAGTTACCTGGTGCAAAAAGGTCACCTTCTAAAGAGCATGCTTGGAGCAAAAAGGAACGCCGTCATACAAACATGTCATTACTATACGTTAAAACAACACAGAGGAACTGGTCAAGCTGAGTAATGCAGGGAGGCTGAACTGCTTTTCTCTTCCTGGAAAACTCATAAACCTGCCTATAAAGGCCATGAACCAGTGTTTTCAAAGATTCCACCTCCTGGTATGGCTTGGATTATTTTTTCCATGCCAGATGCACATTTAACAGAGTAACACAAACAGTGCAGCTTCTTAACTTACTCTTTTAACACCACAACAGTTTGTAAGCTATTTCCCCCAACATATGACTAGTTGTGTTTTTACTGAGCCCGTACCAGGAACAACCCATTTGGCAGGATGAGTAGTGATTCCAATATGTAGCCCGAGGGTATTTAACCTCCAGACCTGCCGCCATCCTGCTGCAGGGAATAAAGACCATTCCTAGAAAACTCCCTAAGGGTTTGTGTTGCGAATAGTAAAAGGCATGGTACGGTACGTACAACTCCATGAAAAGCACAGAAAGCCACCTGCAGACCAGGAAACATTGAGCTGTTCATCAGGTAAATAGAGCTCTGTATCACAGTCACCTTTTAAAGAGGAAAGTTGCACAAGTGCTTCAGCAAGTTTGATAGCAAAGACTCCTCTTCTCAGTCTTGCTGAAGTAGTTCCCTGATTTCTCACCAACTCTCACTGATTATTCCATGTACCTTTAAGGTACAACCACAAGAAATGGTGTTTTTTTTCCAAAGTGTGTTTTCCCAGCAGCTGGAATGGCCCCACTTCAGTGCTGTACTATGCTGTAATCTTACTCTTCCAATAGTTGGAGGTCCTGCAGGAAATCCAGAGAGGGTCTATGGAGAAGGGCCTGTAGGGACAGGCCAAGGGGAATGGCTTTAACCTGCCAGAGGGGAGACTGAGATGAGCTCTTAGGCAGAAGCTCTTCCCTGTGAGGGTGCTGAGGCGCTGGCACAGGGTGCCCAGAGAAGCTGTGGCTGCCCCATCCCTGGCAGCGTTCAAGGCCAGGTTGGACACAGGGGCTTGGAGCAAGCTGCTCTAGTGGAAGGTGTCCCTGCCTGTGGCAGGGGTTGGAACTGGATGAGCTTTAAGGTCCCTTCCAAACTGTTCTGTGATTCTATGATAATCCAAATTTAGGAACCTATAGTAGTAAATAGCCATCAGAGATGCCACCATAGTACACTGTTGTCCTAAAAGTCAAGTATTTTGGCAAATCCTAAGTTTTTTTCATTTTTCAAGGCAATTTTTGTAATGTTGCTTACCCTCAGTCCTAATCTGCTGCTTCTAAATACCACGCAGCCGCGTCTTACAACAGTAAATCCCAACATTTCAATCAAATTACAGAACAAGTGGCAAATGACAAAGTATACTTTAAAAAGTTCTGTCTTCTACACATTTACACATTAGAAAAAGAATACCTTTTGACCAAGAAAGAAGAAAAAAACTCTTATATCAGAGGAAAATAATCTCAACTTCAATCACATCTAAAGCTCCGTTAGCAGGTTTTTTGTACGAGCCTTTTGAATTTCTTGTACACTCAGCAAGTAGATCTGATAGTAAACATCAAACCAGGCAGGCAGCTTTTGAAAACCCAGGCTCAGCTGATACAACTCTTTTAAGTCAAGTTCAAAGTAAAATTTGAAGATGAGATAGCAAACTACACCTGAGTGCTCGTGACATTCAGTAGGAGAAATCGGCAGCTCCACGCTGCAGCGGACCCTGGGTACTCCTTCCTAACTTTCATCTTCTCTGCTTTGCCTCACCCTTCCCAAAATAACAGAGAAAAATTAAAAGGGCTAAGTAACTCTGACACGTTTAAAGCAACAGTAATGGAGAGTAAGCAATATATAACACACAAAATCAAGGCAAAAAACACCCGGTCCTGCTGATCAGTGTTTTATACTCATTGGAGACTCTACAAAGCCCCACACCTTCTGCTCTGATGGACATGGTGCATCTCCCCTGTGAGCTCTGCACTTTCATCCCCAAGCAGAACCTATTTCACCTCATTGGCATTCAATACTGCAAAATGCTATGCTGCAGGCCACTATCCATCTCCTTCAGAGAAGATGAACACCAGAACCCTTTAAAAAGAGGCATAACTTCAGATATTCAGTCAAAAGTTTCTCTGTTCTGCCTTTGCTGCCAATAGTAAAACTTGCATGAGTGTTGGTCTGTATAGGAGAATTATCAGTGCAGATCAAAAAGTCAAAGCTTGTTTGCCATCACCTGATGTTAGGGTAACTTACGTTATGTGAGCTGCAGTAGAAAACATTACCTAATACCTTTTCCTGCTGGAAAACTGAAGTAAAAGCTAAAAGTCACTGGTGCTGTGGCAGGGTAACATCCTATTAATAAAGAACGATTCACAGCAGATTGATTTACAGCACATCTGCCCTATCAGCACACACAAATGGAAGAAAAGCTGTTCCAATGATATGCCCACATCCATAAGAAAGACTCTAACAACTTCTTTTAAATTCTCCATCATTTCTCATAGGATGACAGTCAATATTACAGCATTATCTACTTTCACAGCCCCTGAGGGACGCTTGTCTTGGATACCGCAACTGGAGTGGGAAGGAAGAATTACAGAACCAGTGGCTGCATCCCAGCTCTTTCTTTGGCCAGAGGAGACATCCAGAAAGCAGCACATCTAACTGAGCACAACCCTTTCCTAAAGACAGTATAAGTTCAAACTGGGACTGACTAGATCATTTCATTACAAATCAGGATAAAAGGAGAAGATGTGGTAGCTAAACAAAAACCCGGACCACAGGACTAGAGAGGATTTTCAAATGAGTAAGCAGAACATCCTTTCCCAATGTTTCAACAACAGCATGACTGTATTTTGAGCCAGCAGAGAGGATGGGGGATCTAGTTCTGAATCTGCATCTCTTTATGTCTAAGTGCTGTGAAAACCAAGACAAAATTAGATGTGCTACCTTAACCCTGTGTCAGCTTCTACAGAACAGCTGGAGCATGCTCTTACCTTCACAGATTCTGTCCAGTCGCTGCCGCTTGACTTTGTGTTTATCCACAAGTGCCATCCTTGAGGGTGTTCTGCAACTTCCTGATTCAAAAAGCAAAGCAGTCCCCCAGGAACTTAGGAATATTCACAGGAATCGGCATGCATACCGCCACTGTCGATCCTGCAGAGGAACAAAAGGGCTCATGAGGATTGCCAGCAAGCCAGGTGAAACCTCCCCATCTCCAACTCTGGTATCCCATCAGTCCCACATCTTATACTGCAAATCAAGCTTGCAGCCCCTTTATCTTCCTTGCAATCAGAAAGCACGGCACTGTACACAAGAGCTGCTGAAGCGTGGTATGGCCTTCCCGGTTTTATTTCTGTCTTAAAACCCTATTCCTAGCAGATAAAATCCATTCAGCTCTTTTGTAGGTTCACAGACACTGCAAGATTATTAGAGAGTACATAAAAAAGGGAAAGCAGCTTTTGCTCTTCCAGTACTTTCACACATATAGACACAAACCACTTTTATGCCTTATTTAAGCCTTGCTCTGTAAAGGTGATCAATGGAACTTGAATTTACAATGAGACCTTGGTACATATTCCAGAGTTCACCATAGCCTGTTCTTACCTTGATACGTGAAGGGTTAACATTAAACTTTGGATGCCAGAGCTGCCGTTTCTAGTGTACACACTTTTAAATGCCAGTGAAATAGAGTGATCCATAAAGCAGTATGTGTGGCTGACTTACAACAAATGCCCTACAAAGGGACAAGAGCTGCAGGCTTCTCTGCATGTTGGTGACACGGAGGAAGACCCTAAATGGATCCTCTCAGGTCTTTTATTCCTACAGAGAGCCAAAGGTTTGTTTAATCCCTGAATGACAGACCTGAGCTCAAGCTGCAGACCCTGGATGTGCCATGGTGGCACTTTTACCCAACAGCTAGGAGTCTTTCAAAGCAAGTTCCACAACAGCATTCATGAATCAAGACATGCAAGAGAAGACCTCATGCTGGCAGTGGAATTCAAGCCATTCAATACTACACACGTTGTTTTTTTTTACCGAGTTGTATTACCAGCAATTCAATATCCTCTTTCATATTTTAAAGGTGAAGACAGATGACCCTGATAAGAACTGCAAACCTTCCAGGGTTGCCTCCTGCTTAAGAGACACATGCCCTCCCCCAGCCATCTACCACCTTTTAAGCCCACTTAAAGGCAATAAAAAAGAGCAGAATTAGTGGAAAGCTGTGATTTCTAGGTACAAAGCAAAACGCCACCATGATTTTAGTGGCAAAAGGGAAGAGAAAGAAGAAGACAGACACAAGCACAAGCACAGCAAGAAACCCTCTCCTGCGTGGCCACCTGTACTGTGCTGTGCAATAGACTCTGCCTACATAGGTTGAGTGTGCGATACACTCAAACACTCTGCCTACAAAGTACTAGAAAGGGTTAAAAAACCAAATAGGTTCTGGAAAGCCAGCAATAACCACAAAGTTGGTACCACTTGTTCAAACTGGCCCCCAAACAGCTCCTCTGCAGTGGGTGAATTTTCACACTGCCTTATTTGCAAGCAAAGGTTCACATAAAATATAGAAAACACAAGAAGAAGATGCTGAAAACCAGGAAAAAACAGATTGATGCCCAAAAGCTGACCCTGGGCAATGACTGTAACCTCAGCTTTTGCTTCCCCTTATGTAGAGCTGCAATAGCAACGCTTAACCCATCCTCTGGAAACACTTCAGCTTCTTCAGCTTCACACAGTCCAGTCAGGCATTTCTACCTTGTGTTTTATTCCTCTGCAACAGCGCCCAGCTCTCCTAAAAATCACACCAGCAAAAGCAATAACTTCCCAGCAAACACAGTTAACAAACGCGACAGCCCAGGCTGAGCACGCCAGGGGTAAAGGCTCTAACAAAGCCGCTGCATACCGAGATGACAATTTCATGGGTATTATTGTTATTATTATAAATGGTTATCAATTATGCATCACATTGATAGTTAATTTCGAAAAGGAAAAGGGTTGTGTTGGTACAACTGAGTTCTGACTAAAGGAAGATGGGTGATTTCCTGGTAGTTAATGGCCAATTTCCCAGCAGCGCGACTGCAGCGTAATCTCTGAGATTTATAGCAATAATTAATTGATTTCTTTTTAAGCATAGGGATGCTAAAGAGCACGATTCCCACTCACATTAATAATTAATGCAACGCTCTAAAAGAAGCTGAAAACTTCAATTCCAGAGGCAGGAGCTTGTTACAGTCAAAATATTTCTTACGACAAGGATCAAACTGTTAGTGTAGCTAAAGCCAGAGCGGGGAATAGCATTTCCACAATGAATATTTAAAGGTATACACATGATTTTTTACCTCTATTTCAGGGAGAAATACCAGGTTATAAAAAAGTCATGGCAGGGGAGAAGAAGTTAGTATTTCGTACTGGAAATGCTCAAATGGCTCATTAGGTTGGGGCTGCAACTCCTTTTCCTGTTTTCCCCCAAACAAAAAAAATCAATATCCAAACTGTATTTGATTTTGACAGAGTGCATCTTCTGATGGACAAATGCTTCCATTATGTTCTTTTCCCTCTTGTCATCTCAATTCCCTGCATTATTCCCTGGAGGAAAACTTTGCACAAAAGAAACTAATAATAATCAGAGAAATTATTGCTCATATTAGCAGAATCCTGCATAGCTTAACCAAATGCCTGTAACTGAGCTCCTTCCTAACGATGTTAACTATTCCATCTTGTTCTGACAGGTACCCATGATGGTATCAACCAGCAGTAAAAGCCCAGTTTGGAAGACTTATTAAACACATGGCAGGAGCTTCCAAGCAGGATTTGGCAGGGATAGATAAAATGAAGAAAAGCAGATATGAGGGGCACAGGAACAAGCAGCTATTCCACAGCCTGTATGAAGCTGCAATTAAGAAACCAGTTCTTCCATTCATGGGATGGAGGATGCAATTAGATGCACATCCAACTTCAATCCATCCTCAATGGTTTCTACATCCAACCCCATCTCAAAGGCTAAATGTCCCCTTGCAATAAAATAAATACAATCAGGCTCAGCAGAACAAAACTCATGGTCAGCAATTAAAAGAAGAGGAAAGCTCATTGTGTAAGGAAATTTGAGGGAGGCAGACGCATGCACAAAAACTACTTCATCTTCAGCAAGATTAGGAAACAAGTGAAGTGATTTACATACAGTAATTGCATGGCCGTGTTAGCCTCCAACAGTGTCTTTCAAAATGTAAATTTCCTTGAAAACCCTTGGACACGATGATAGCCCAGCAGTTATTTATTTATTTAAGAGGAGGAATGTACTTAAATATGATGTTTTAGGGGAAAAAAAAAAATACCCAATCCTGACATAATGCATTTAAAAAGCTTAATACTGCTCGTTAAGTACCACAATCTATGAGCCAGAAAATGAGAGCAGAGGAGGCTGCGTTAGGGCTTATTTTTCCAGCTTTCAATGGAAAATGTGTAGAAAGAAAAGGTGATTTTCCAAAATAGGAGGCACTGTTAGCTAAAAGTAAGACAAAGGGGACTTGGCAAAGAATGTGTTTGCTGAGCTTTCTCTCAATTAGCACTGTTCTATCATCTTTTCACTGCCTAGGTAGGTAGCACAGGAGCACAAACATACAATGGTTTGGGTTGGAAGGGACCTTAAAGCTCACCCAGTTCCAACCCCTGCCACGGGCAGGGACACTTTCCACTAGAGCAGCTTGCTCCAAGCCCCTGTGTCCAACCTGGCCTTGAACACTGCCAGGGATGGGGCAGCCACAGCTTCTCTGGGCACCCTGTGCCAGCGCCTCAGCACCCTCACAGGGAAGAGCTTCTGCCTAAGAGCTCATCTCAGTCTCCCCTCTGGCAGGTTAAAGCCATTCCCCTTGGCCTGTCCCTACAGGTCCTTGTCCCAAGCCCCTCTCCAGGTTTCCTGTACCCCCTTTAGGCATGGGCAACATATATTTTTGAGTATCCATCACATATGTTGCCATCAAACCACAGTGGCACCCAGCAGGTGACTCAGAGCCCCCATTCCCCTTGCTCCAGACAAAACCGTGTCTCACACATTCCCTCCCTGTGCACAGTCCCAGGAAAGTGGAATGCTGTTCCTTAAAACTCATTTTGTGACAAGCAGATGCTGATGCAAGCGCACAGCCCCACTGCAGCACCGCAGGCTTTGGTAAAGCATCATAAAACCTCACCTGAGAGTCCTGCCCAAAACACAGCTCAACAGCTAGGACTTACTAAAGCCACACCTGCTGCCTTCCTAGGTGTGAATGAACAAGTGGCACGAAGGCACCACTTCTGCCAGGGCATACATGGTCACAGGTTAAGTGGGACTCTTCTCTAACTTCAAATACCAGCATCTTTCTGAACAATCCACACACTCCAAGGCCCATAATGGAGTCACAAACCTGTTGTTCTTGATTTCCAACTACATTTTCCACTGTCTATGAAATATGTCATCTACAATCCCTACTACAGAAAAATTGGGGATGCACACACTGCAAAAGCTCCCGTTTCCAAAGAGCAAAGGAAAATCTCTGTCCTTCCTCACATCTAAACTGGGTTTCCACATGTATAACTCCTTAAGCACGGGAAAATCCAGCCTGAAAATTTTGATGGTGCTATCAGATATTTCTTAGGCTCCCAGGAATGGAGATATTCCTGGTGAAGGTTTTGCACTCATGGTTACTGCAGGACACCAGCAGACCAGGATGCCCAAGTAATTGTGAAGGTAGCAGCCACCGATGTCAAGGGTTGCTCTCCTCCATCCCCCTTTGCATTAAGGTTCCAGTTTTCCAAAGCTCAGCGCACTTGAACTGAGATTTCAATGCAAGAACAGTCCTCAGAGCTGTTTCAGCCTTGCAATAGTATCACCGGGTATTAACTGTTCTGGCCATTTCCACTGCTGATCGCTTCAGATGTTGGCAGCTGGTGGGGAGGACAAGAGGGGCTGGGAAGTGGAGTTCCATATTAGAAAGGCAATGCAGGGAAAAAGAAGGAAGGAAGCACATGGAGATAATGACATGGGAGGGAAGTGGACAAAGGAGATGGTACAATGCAGGAGGAACACAGTGAACACTCTGTCATCCTTCCTCCCTGGGCCAACAGCACATCTACAAGTGCGATGCCACTTCTCAGCCCTGTTCACCTTCTCCTTTCTCTAA